GAGATAATTTCTAAGCCTATAATTATGCATGCATGTTTTTAACTGTCAAGCTAATAAGGAATATATGGAACGCCATGGTAGAATTTCTATTCAGAGAAATGTTGCAATAGGTTAGGAAGCTGTTCTGAATCATTTTTAGACAGGTTTCCTACAGAGGCAGAGGTGATTGATGCCCCATGCCTGTCAGTGTCCAAGACACATTTGACAATGCCTTCAAAAGCAGTTTTTTAACTTTTGGTTTAACCTGAAGTAGTCAGGCAGATGGACTAAAAGATTGCTGAAGGTCCTTTTGAACTCTTCCATCCCATTCTCTCCTATCCTATCCTATCCTATCCTATCCTATCCTATCCTATCCTATCCTATCCTATCCCGTCCCATCCCATCCCATCCCATCCCATCCCATCCCATCCCATCCCATCCCATCCCATCCTTATTCTTTTCAAATGATTGTGCTAGTAACATTTGTTTTGTCATAAAATAATTAGGAGTTTCCACTACAATTAATTAAATGATCATGCTTGATAGCAACTAAAACAAGTTTATACTGGCACCCTTCCAGTATAAATAAGATGAAATTACACAATCATAGAATATTTTTTGGTTGTACAGAACCCCTGAATTGCTATTCTACACTAGTATTGAAGACATCATTAACTTGAAGCTTAGATTAGTTTAATCAGCACTTCATCCAAGTTCTGAATATCTCCAGGTCTACAAAGTTTACCGTAGCTCTAGGCAACCTGCTTCAAAGCTTAACAAGCCTCACTTTAAAAATCATTTTTCTTTATGTCAAGTCAGAGATCTTTACTTCTTGCCCATGCCATAAAAGAGTCTGGACCTATCTTTGCCAATATAATGGCCTATTTCTAGACTTCCCTTTGCCAATGTCTTTCTCATACTTAAGTCCAAACCTGGATGCATAAGTGCTCAAAAGTTGGGTTTAATCAATGTTCTCAGTACTCTTGCTGTGTAGTAGCCAAGGCTGTACAAAACATGCTTAACCCTCAATGTCACAAGTGCATACTATTGACTCATATGGTACTTGTCACTCATGAGAAACCCTCAGTAGCTTTTTGTTAGTGTTGGTCCTTAGAAAATTGGCCCCTCCCAATTGTTTACTTTCAAATAATCTCTGTGAGATCACTTTTCTAGCTTGATGAGGTCCCTCTGAATGACAGCCTTATTGTCCATCATATTGACTGCTCCCTTCAATTTGTTTTCAACCACGAACTTGTTGACAGTGTGTTCCTTCCTGTGTAATTGCTAGGCATCAAATCACAGCATTACCTATTTTCTGGTCTCAAAAATGTACTGTGATCCCATATAATGTAAAGCAAAAGAGTTTTTTAAGGCATACTTCACAAGTGACTGGTGTAGAAGTTTTGTGATTATGTGGAAAACGTGGTTTAAACAGAAAAATAGCAACGTTTTGTATAAGTACTTGCAATTGCAGGTTCGGTGGCCCGTAATCTCTTCGCAAGGATTGAGAATAAAAACAGTCAGTATGCACACAAATACTCTTCTGATCCAGTGGTATTTTTACCTGTTCTCATCTTACCTAATGTACAAGGAAATGCCGAATCAGACTACAATGTGTGCTTTAATATTAGTGCACAGAGTAATCTGTTAATCTTTATCCAGTACTGAGTGAAAGCATAATTTACAGAAGTATCCTTCTCTCTTTGATTTTTTACGCCTATGGGATTGATATAAAGAAGCCATAGCATGAACAGGAACTTGGCCCACGATATCTTTACTCCCATAGAAAAATCAATGGGCCAGATTTCTTCTTGGTAACAATAGTGTCAATCTGAAGACATCTCAGCAGCCAGCTGAACTTATTTGCATTACCACAGATTAAGATCAAGCATTACTACAACTGCAGGTTTCAATCATTAGCAGCAATCTTTTGTACCTGGCGTTCCTATTGACTTCAAATTTCACATGCAAGGAACAATGCACACAAAACTCATTTCAGAGAATTTCATCTCATCCAGCACAAGAAGTAGGAGGAAATAAAATACAAACAGCCAAACTCCTTCTTGGAAGATTGTGCACATGATAAGTGTGCCGTTCCATCTGGTCACCATTTGAATTTCTAATACCTGTGACACTGAGTCACCTGGTCCTATCAGGAAACAGAACAGCTATAAATCATGCTCCAGTGAAGAGCTCCAGCCACTTCCACCTGCAGAAGGACAGACGAGACTTCCAATCTTCTTGGAAGCGAAAGGTAAGATTTATAATTTGTTTGCTTAAATTACTGCAATTCTAATAATACATTACAATGCAAGCAATATACTCATCAGAAAGATTCTGATCTCTTCAACAGTTCAGGACAGCCACAGAAAGGATTTTATTTGGTGAAAAGTGAGGATTTGGTAGCCAATGCTCTGATACAAAATGAAAAACAAAGGAGACAAAATGGATGAACAAACGCAGTAGATGGAGCAATCATTGCTTATTTTTAGAGTGGGGAAAATGCCCCTTTGTACGAATTACCACTGTACAAAGTGTCAGACAGTCATACAAGCGCAGAATATCCTGTTTTGCAGGGCACCTGCAGCAATCACGAAGTCCAACTCCTGACTTCACGCTGGGCAGGCTAATTCTTATTCTGCGTCTCTCAGAGTGCTGTTTAAATGCTTAATGGACATCAGTGGCTTTAGGGCTGTGATCACCATCTCAGGGCCTTTTTTTCTGGCACCCTCTGAATGAAGTACATTTTACTAAAGCCAATCTGAACTCCCCACACTTCAACTTTAAGCCATTACCTCACATCCATTGACCAGTCACCGGTAAGACCTTGTGCAGCAATGCCCTTCAACTGAAATGACAACTCACATTAGTCCATTTCAGGTCTTTCCTAACAATAATAACAGTGAATGGGCATTTATTATTTTTCATTATTTTGTAATGGCAATTCAGCTAAATGAATAGTTTAGGAAATTGTATGCATATAGGTATATAGATATTAGAAGTGAGCACTAAGAGAAGTGATGGGAAAAACATATCCACACCAGTTTCTTTCAGTGTCAGCTCTCTGCACACAGATGGAGTTTCAGGAAAGTCAGTAAGACTTGGCACATGTCCTGATTTATGTTTGACTGAGGGGAGCAGGGGAGGGGGGTGGAGAGACTGATTTTAGGACCAGTGCCTAGAAATTAATGCAGAGCAATTAAATTTACATCTCTCAAACTGTAAGCATTTGGTTGAAATCAGTGGGATTGCCAAAAGTATGCTCATATCTTGGAGCAATACATCCACTGGTTCTTAAAAAGCATTCCTATTGCATTTTTTAAATTGTATCATGTTTTAAATGAACAATTATGTTTAATTGCAGTTAAATTCATTGAAAATATTACAGTGAATGAATATTTTGGCTATGAATTTAAACTAGCTTCTTCAATTTGTTTGCAAAATAGGCTCACAATTTAAATTAGTGATTACCTTTTAATAGAACAAAGAATTTGTATTTGTATGTCACAAGTGCAAAAAGGTTGTTTTCTATCTGCTTATCAGCACTTTTTTTGTTTAAAAATGTATTTTTACTTGTAACTTAAGTACATGAAAAAAAATCCCCATCTCCACTTACTTTTAGTTAGGAATGAAGTGAAAAGAATCATTCTTTAGGTTTTTGGGGCTTTAATCTTTCTGTTGTTCAGCACATAGGTCAGATATACTGCAAAGTTTTGTTAGGGTTCAGAGAAAAAATTGATACAAGAGTATCGTAATGCACTTCAAGGAGTCATAGATTATGTCAGAATGAAACACTGTCATAAACCAATACAGAAAATAGGAAATCAGTGATTTAAGCAGTTAATTTTCAGAATATTTCCCAATCTGGTTCTTGCTCAGATCAGCTAGATTTTTCTCCTTCAGAGCAAGGTAAGCAAATCTTGTCATTCTATTTGGAAAAGAGCAGTGTTTTCTTACCCACATGCTCTCCATGAGCAGGAGCACCTTGCATTTCACACAGAGTGGTAGCCTCAGAGGTTTGACTGAGTGTAAAAGTATCAACTGTCCTTTTGGTAGGGATAAATTAAGACCAGCAGTCCTCAAGACCAAGAAGTTAAGCTAGTAAGGCATCTCTGCAACAACATGCCCTTAAATTCCCTTGTAGTTAGAGGTTGGGAAAACTGCCAAAATAAATAGATTCCTCTCTAGTCAGTTGCTTTGCCGAAGGTAGCTAAGCAGGAACAGACTAAATGTAGCAATTACTTATTATTGATTGCAATCAGAAGACAAAAATTTTAAGTAACCTTAATTACACTTTGGATCACTGTAATGGGATGGTATGAAGGCTTCAACTTTCTAAGTAAATGTTCTTGGTCAATCCAAAGCGATTGCATCATTACTGGAGAAGGTTCCCATTTCTGTTGTGAGCCCACACTGTCCATAGATTAAAAATTATGTATAATAAATAATTTTAAAGAATAAAAGCTTTCTGAACAACTCTTCCTCAGGAAGACAGTTCTGTCCCAGTCTTTGGGGTGCTAGTCATTTCAGAAAGGCTTTGACTCCAGCTCTGAATGTAGAGACTTGCACACAGGTGAGTGTTCAATGCCCCTTTCAAGCAATGCAGTCCAGTCTAAGCAGGCAACAAGGAGAAGACAAAGTTTCAGGTTAACATAGGCAAAGAAACAAGCTAGAAAGCAGCTTCCATCCTTGTGCTCCACAATTCAATGTGCAGAACTCTTCCTACAGGAAGGAAGCATGAATATCCTGAATTCAGGTGAAATTATTCAACCAGGATCAGGCCAGGAAGAATGAGACACAAAGAAGATGACTCAGAGAAATTTTGAAATGCGACACTGCAATGAATTTTATTTAGTTATTGCTAAAAATAGGAGGGGGAGAGAAGGAGGAAACAGAGAAATCATTGCCTTGCTGCCAAAAAAAAAAAAAAAAAGAGAATGCACAAAGGAACGACCTCATGTATTCAGAATAGTGAAAGGGGAATTATCACAAAGGGGAAAAATGTTCTTCTTTTTTCAGAGATGATTCTGCCAGCAATACTCCTGTGTCTTGCAGCTGTGCTGCGCCCGTCTGCTGGAGAGGTAGGAGCTGCACTTTGTATAGAGGAAATTGGGATGGGGCCTGAGGGAGTCTTGGTAGGACTGAATATGTGTTTCTTCCTGTACACAATGATTTTATTCAGAAAAAAATCTGCTAAGATATCTGGGATGTGGAAAGCATTTATCCTTGAAATCTGACAGACGTTCCAAGCAGCAGACTGCCTGCACACTGTCACAGGAGACCATCTATAGGCTCGGTTTACCTCAGAGTTGGATTAGTGGGAACGGCATGTTCCAGTATCTCCCACTCCCTTTCCACAAATCCGACACTCTTCCCATCAAATCTTCACCTTTTTAAAGACAACAGCCCCCTAATGATCTACCTTTCTCATCCCACAGGACCTCAGCTATGTTCCTCTACCTTTACTCACAGCCTCATCCTCTCAACAGGTACCACTGATTTCCCCCCAGCAGCTAAACAAACTAATACGCTCAGCATCCTTCTTGTGGTTCTTCTCAACACAGATTTGGTCTGAAGTTGCTTTTTTTGTTTCCAATATACTGATATGCCTAAAGGCTTGACTACGTTTTTCCCTTCTATAGCATCTTGACTAAAACTACTACTTTTTTTCTGCAAATCTTTCTTCTCTAAAGCTATAAAAGCACTAAAGCTTATCTGAGTACACAAGGAGTGCAAGTGGTGTGCGTGACTCACAATCACTCCCACTGAGATCACGCAAAAGAATAATCAAAATACTGTGGCTGAATGGCGTTCAGTGACATATAATTAAAAATATAAATAGAATATGTATTTTAAGTCATAGAATCATAGGACATCCATAGCTGAGAGGGACCTGTAAGTGTCACCGAGTCCAGCTCCTGCCACCACAGAGGACCACCTAAATGCCAGACCATATAACACAGAATTATGGAATCACAGAATGGTTTAGTTTGGAAGGGAGCTTTACGGTTATCTAGTTCCAACTCCCTGCTATAGACTGAGAGCATTGTCCAGAAGCTTCTTGAACTCCAGCAGCTCGGTGCTGTGTCTAGAAGAACTATTAAAAAACAGAAAAAATTGTATTCAATGTGATAGGATCATAATGATCTATGAAAATATATACATAAAATTAAGATCTTAAGGTTTTTAGCACTGCTTTTATACTGCTAAAAATGTCATAATTAATAAATGCATTTTGGATTTGCATCCTTGTACATGGGTTCTGTTTTCTAATCATCTCACCAAGTTAATCAGAGCTGAGATGATGTGCAATATGACAGAAATAGCAGTAAAAGCAAATACATGATAAGACGTCATAGAGAACAATGGCCTGAAAATACGATGAGACTTTTAAATTTCTTCTCTCCTTGATGCCCTCAGAAGACCACTGAGAATGACTGGAATGAGAAAATTGAGTTCTTTGTAGTTCTTTCTTAATCAGAAAAGGCATTAGGAAGTTTCAAAAATGCCACCAATTACAGCAGGAGTGAGAGAAAATATCTGACATGAAAAATAAATCTGACATGAAAAATAACGACAAAATATTTGTAATGCAGTGGGGTCTCTGGATAGAGGTGGGTAGTGATTAACAAGTTCATTCAGCAGAAAAAAAACACCAATAGGCTCAATTAAAATGCTGAAGAGGAAGAACACGTCATAGTTGTATTCATGCATTTGCCTGGTTTTCACATCTGGTTTTTCCAAAATATCATAATGGCGATTAGAATATCAATAAATTAGATTTGATTTTGGTGCCTAAATCTGCCTGTGGAAGTTGTGGATGCCCCATCCCTGCAGGCATTCAAGGCCAGGCTGGATGTGGCTCTGGGCAGCCTGGGCTGCTGGTTGGCGACCTGCACACAGCAGGGGGTTGGGACTGGAGGAGCGCTGTGGGCCTTTGCAACACAGGCCATTCTATGATTTTGTGAAAAATTTAAGAGCTCAGCAGCACAAGAAGTCTTCCAGGATTTTCCAACCATCCATGGAGGGCTGGCAGATAGCTTCCAGGAGCCAGTGATATTTTTGTTACCACTAAGCAGGAGGCAAAACATGTCACGTTATCTACTCCATTACAAGGATCATCTCCTTCACTGACATCACTCTTTGGGTACTTCAATATTTCCTGGATGGTATTCAGTATTAGTGACGTTCACGTCATAAATAGATAAGCAAATAAATGAATACTTTTGTCTTTCAATTTAGATGCCTGAAGCTTCCCTTGCTCTGTCAACCAACAGAACTGATCAACAAAAGTTGATTGTTGACAAACACAATGCCCTCAGGAGAAGAGTCAGCCCACCTGCCAGTAACATGTTGAGAATGGTAAGCTGTGCGCTGTAAATCTATCTGCAATGAGCAGTGGACCCTCTGAGGGATCAGAACTGTATGATGGTTCAGTTGGCTTTATCTAGCCACATGTCTGCCCTCCAAACTCCTCCTGAGGACCTGGCACAGCCACCACTGTAAGAACATAAAGTTGTGCAGATGGAAAAATGATTCTGGAAAATGTTGCTGTGCATAAACAACACACTTTTTTTTTTTTTTTTTTTTTCTTTTTATATGAATAATTTTTTTTTTTATATAAATAAAAGGAAAAAAAGGAGCCACAACACTGTTCATTCCTTTCTGATATACGCTTAAGATGATCTTCACAGTTTCTAGTCATTTCCTGAGTTCACAGTAATTTTGATCAAAAACCCCTCGTCAGGAAGGGGTTGTGTGCAGTTTCCAAGTTTGGTTCATCCATGAGGACTCAGTACATGATTAATGTCTGAATGGAATGATTAATAGTCTCTTCTTTCATTGTTTCTACTTTCCTGTAGGAATGGAGTCCTCAGGCTGCAGCAAATGCTCAGAACTGGGCAAATCGATGTTCTTTAAGTCACAGCCCTCCAAACCAGAGGGAAATTGGTAAGTTGAATGCCATCTGAGTAATGCCCCTTTTGTCATTAAAGTGAACAGGTTTGGGGCATGAGATGAGCCAAACTAATTGATCTAAAAATGAAGTCAAAATATTCCATGTATGCATTTTCAGAGCTGTGGATTCATACCTTCAGCAATGAGACTATCTACTTTGCTAAATGCATTTTATAATTTTATAATAGTTTGAATATTTATATATTCGTATAATTGTGCACTGATATTATTATTTTATGTAATTTTACATAACTTTTTTTTATATAATTTTATGAAGTAAGGACTCACTTTCCTAACTTCAAACGTCTGCTAAGTAAAGATCTAAGCCAGAATTGATCAATGTATTCTTCTGTATATTAAATATAAGTAAATATAAGATGGAAATTCTATTAAGATATGTCTCATTTGTCCTAGTTTTTGTGTATAATATAGATTGAATCTGAGTGAAGCTGTTAGTTTGTTTTCCAGATGATTAGCCCCAAAAACAAACTTTGAAGCAAGGGATCTTACCCAAGATGCTCATAAGAAGGATTGTGTTAAAAGAAATTATATGTTATATGTTATAAATTATATGATTAGTTATCACTAATTAATTCAATTTTCAAATTTACATGAAATTCCCTACTTTTGAAAAGAAAGGAAACGTGCAAAATTATTTCTCTTACTTTTCTCACTAATTCCATTCCTCAAATACTGTTTTCTGTACCAACCATTTCAGATGATTGAAAGCACTGAACTATTTATGAGGTTTTCAGCTTTGATTTTGTTGTAATTTATCTTTAAAATTACTTGACTAAGTATTTGAGATGTCATTGTATGGAGGGTGTTTTTATTGGCACATGGGACAAAGGAAATTTCTGGATGTAAATCTGTCCAGTAAGTGAGAAAAATTCAGTGCCATTCCTATCTTGATTGTACCAGTTTTCTTCAGTGGATGAAAAAAAAGCAGTGAGAAAATATACTCAAAACATATACAAAACATAAGAAAATGTTGATCCTTTTTACTGCTGTGATCTGGATTTAACTATGAGAGTTGCAAGGAGCAAAGGGTGAAGATCCAAAACCCGACAGTTGTGCTGCTGACTGATACAAGACCCATAACTTAAATTCTCTGACATTCTAGTTTTACTTATAAATATCTGTGATGTTTATACAAATACCTAATTCACTGGATATTGGTGTTACAACTGCACTATGCTAGCAATAGCTATGATTAGTGCCCAGTGAAATGTTTGCTGCTGATTTCTGTCTATACTCTATACAGTGTGGACTGACTTGCAGTTACCATGCTTTCTTCAAAAAAAAAAAATAGAATCCATTGGTTCTCATGGAGGTGAGCCTCCATGATGAGAGCTGTTGCACACGCAGAAAAGTTGATCAGGGCACCAGACTTGAAAAAAAAACCAATAGGTGAAATCACTTGACACTGCCAACAACTTTCTGTGTGCCAGAAATAAGTTTTGAATTGTCGGGATTGTCCTAATTTTATGGGGCTGTGACTTGAATCATGACTCAGGTTGCCATCCACCTTCCAAATATCAAAATCAGTCATCAATCTGTGGCACATGTATACAGGTGTATCTATAGGTACACAGAAGTCTGTCACCAACTGAACTACCCAGCCAAACAGGTTGGCCGTGCTGCAAACTGGTCAAGTGACAGCATCAGCATTGATTAAAGTTGGTGTCGTGGAACCAGAAAAAAATTCCTGCCGTCTCAATGGGGATGAGAGATACCAGGAAAATTACAGCAACTGAGACTGGCTCTTACACATCTGTGTTTTCTGCATTTCTCAGTATTTTTCTCTTTTCAGGTGAACCATGTGGCGAAAATCTCTACATGTCAACTGCCCCTTCCTCGTGGTCAGATTCCATTCAGGCTTGGTACAATGAGGAGAAAGATTTCAAATATGGAACTGGAGCAACAACAGCAAATGCTGTGATTGGCCATTACACTCAGGTAGAAGCAGCTTCTGGGTATTCCATTCTAAAGAAGTAAATATTCCTGTCAGCCAAGAAACATTTATGTTCTCATTATCCCTAAAAGCAGTAAGTACATTAGAGATATGAGAGTTATACCAATGAACATGAAAATTTCTACAGTAACAGAGTACAAAGTTTTATACCTCGGTTCAATTATCTTCCTTAACACTTTTACTTAAATGAAAATTTACTTTATTAAGACAATTTAATTTAGAAGTTGTAAAAACATGTGTGATAAATTATTATTATAATGATTATAAATTATCATTATTCCAGATGAACTTTGATTCAAGGAGGAGAGCAGGAGAGCATGTTTTTCCAGAAAGATGGGACTAATATTTTAATAAATTTTAATAAATAAATTGACTTAACAGTTGCAACTGTTTCCTTAATGCATAATTTACTTTAATGACTTCCAAATGTATTTGTTTTTCATTCTCTCGTTGTTTTTCTTCTTCTACCTGCAGGTAGTTTGGTACAATTCTTACAAAGTTGGATGTGCAGTCGCCTATTGTCCTGAAAGGACATTCAAGTACTTTTATGTGTGCCATTACTGCCCTGCGTACGTATTGATTCTGCTACTGGAACTTCTTGTTACATCATCAAAATAATTCAGGAGATGGTGAAATCTGCAACACAGTGCAACACTCACAGCTGAGGAACAGGTCTAAGGAGTGTATTAGGAATATGCACAAAAATATAGCTTGTATAGCTGGATAGTGATAGGACAAGGGGGATGGTTTTAAAGTGAGACAGGGGAGGTTTAGGTTGGATCTGAGGAGGAAGTTTTTCCCCCAGAGGGTGGTGAGGCACTGGCACAGGTTGCCCAAGGAGGCTGTGGATGCCCCATCCCTGCAGGCATTCAAGGCCAGGCTGGATGTGGCTCTGGGCAGCCTGGGCTGCTGGTTGGCGACCTGCACACAGCAGGGGTTGGGACTGGAGGAGCGCTGTGGGCCTTTGAACCCAGGCCATTCTATGATTCTATGAAAACATAAAACATGTAATGCAGAGAACAATTTTATGACTGAATTTAATTTGCCCCTTATCCCTAATTCTTACGATAATAAATCACAAAGAAATAATTTCCTTATTCTACTTGAAATCTTAGTTCACGAAGGAATGTAAATATATATACTATCAATGACACCAAGAACACCAGTGGGGGCTTTAAAAGAGAGTAAGATTTCATGAACTTTGCCAAAAATTAATTTTCACATTCATGTTTTCATATACAAACATTGTTTGATCTATAGTTACAATTGATTGATCATACATTAAAATATATATTTATCTATATAATTATATGTTAATCTCAGATATGTTATAGTGAGTTTATTGTTTATATTGGCAATGTTTATGTTTCAGAGGGAATATAATGGGTTCAATTGAAACACCCTACAAAGAAGGACAACCCTGTGGTGACTGCCCTGATTCTTGTGACAACGGATTATGCAGTAAGTTTGAAGTGCTTTAATTGTGGCCAAGGTAAAATTGTAAAATATATGTTAGTTGATCCCAATGGGAAGTTTTAAAGTGATATGATTGAACACCAGCCCAAAAGAGAGGTTATGACTGTCATGCTGTGTAGATTGCTGTGTGATTATTATTTATCAGTTGTTTTATGGAAGAACAATTGTAGTCCCAAACTTCTAGAGGGAGAAGTAGTCTGTCTGTAGCAGGGGGGTGGAATTAGGTGATCTTATAAGTCCCTTCAAACCCAAACCATTCTATGATTCCCCGTGTCAGGTGCTTTGCCAAAGTAGAACAACCTGTGCTGTGAAACCAAAAAAGGAGTCTGTGAGAGGGGAGGACTAATTCAAGACATTACTTAGTGTTATGGGATGCAGAGACACCCATTTTCTTGGACTCATAAGAACAGATGAAAATATTCATACAATCCACATACCTCCATTAAAGATGACAATGCCTGGGTCTCCATACAGAAACTCTGACGTAGAAGTCCTAGTGAATGAGGGCTCATTGACTGCAGTGAGGTCAGAGATGCATTTATACCAATGGTAGCACAGAAATCTGAGCTCCACATTTCCTGCTGTTGTCTACCTGTTTTTTCATAGTCAAAGGAAAATGTTCTTACCTCTGAATCAATGAAACCAGAGAAGGAGGGGGTTCTTTTTGTTTCCTCCTCTTTAAAGCAGTGGTGGCAGATCAGGTACCAATAGCAACATGTTTGAAGAGATACCAGTTTTGTTTTTTTGTTTTTTGAGCAAATTTGAGTTTTAAGAACTACATCAGAAAACAAAAGCAGATGGTCTGAGTCATTAATATAAGACAACTTAGCCTAGCTTCTGTTGTGTAATAGGCCTAATTCTCATCAGGAGCTGTCGCACAAAGCAAGAAAGAAGAAGACAGGCTCTACAGCAGAGTCTGTTGTGATAGAAAAAGGGGAAATGTTTTCAAGCTAAAGGAGGATAGATTTTGGTTGGATATAAGCAAAAATTCCTTTAAAGTGAGGGTGGTGAGGCACTGGAACAGGCTATCTAGTGTTGTCGTTGATGCCCTGACCCTGGAGACTTTCAAGGTGAGGCTGCATCAGGCCCTGGGCTACCTGATGTAGCTGTGGTGATCCTGTGCACTGTGGGACAGATGGACTAAATGGCCTTCAGAGGTCCCTTCCTGCTCAAATAATTCTATGATTCCACAATAAAGTTCCAAAACGCTTTGAAATTTCAGTGACAAACTTTCTGGGAAACAGTTAGGGATACTATAAATATACTGGTCAAAAATTTGGGATTTGGTTGTGGAAAAAATAGCAACAAAGTGGAATAACTGAAGGGTACAAAAATGACAATGAAAAGAAGTATTCTGAAAGGAAGTATTCTAGTTTCTCATTTCCAATTTATGATTAATTTTGTATATGAATGCATTTTCAGCCAATCCTTGCAAGTTTCGTGATGTTTACTACAACTGTCCAGAAATGGCAAAGAGATATGGATGTGACCACAACTTTATCAAGGCAAACTGCCTTGCCTCCTGCAGATGCCAAAATGAAATAATATGATCAACTCTTCCCTTCGCAGACATCCGTCTCCTTAAGTAATTTCTTTCACAAAAACAGAGTCTACCCTACCTTTCCATGCACGCAGAAAGACTGAATTCTGGCCAATGATACTCATAAGGAAGATCTGAAGGTCGTTCTTGTATTTTATTCACATAATGCTGTGGAAGTGTAGTGGAGGTGTTAAGTGGAAGTTGGCATTTGGGTATCGGACACAGAGATCAGCTTCTCACACCTTTCTTTTCCCAAACTGTTGTCTAAGGAGTTAAATGTCTAACTAATTAAAATGTCTGTTCCAGAAAGTTCCATATGTTTCATATGTTCTCGGTGTAGTAATGTGACTAATCTTAACCTGACAGACTTTGTAAACTCTGGTACTGTTAATTGGACAAGAAGATAAAGGGGATTACCTGAGAAAATGTAATTCTCAAAAATAAAAATAAAAATTAGGAGAGCAGAGGATTTCCACTAGCATTATAGTACTGTTCTGTGTTATAATCTGTGTTTTTGCTGACCTACATAAAATACTCAGTTGCATATATTTGTTAAAAAAAAAAAAAAGTGTCATTCATCTAAATAAATGATCCTCCTTATGGTATGATTACACTTAGCATAAATGCAGACAACTAAATCTGCTCTCTTCTAAAAAAAAAAAAAAAAATAGCCTGAGAAAATGATTTAATTCACAAAAAAATAAATTTCCAAGGAGAATGAATTTTGTGTTTGGAAATCTTGCTTTTGAAAACACAGTTATGGTTCCAATTTCTTTTTTTTTTTTATTTGAATGACTGCTTTTAGCATTTCAGTCATCAGTGTTCATTCCTTCCTCATCGATCCACTTTAATTTTTATTCTTTCTTATTATCATGAAAAACATCACTTCCACCAACTTTTTGACTTGATCAACATGTCATTTTGAGGAGTCTGACTCCTTAACAACAGCAGCAGAAACAGATCAGGTGAGGAGGGAGATTTCCTCAGCAAAAACAGCAGTCAGGCAAACAGCTTTCCTTCAGGATCTCTTTCAGAGAGAACAGTCATCAGCACAAATAACATGCAGTACTCACTTTTGTTACCTCTGAGAAGCAAATGTTCTGCTGTGCAGCTAGCAAGAGGACAACATGTTATTTTAGTTTTACCCTACAGTGGTTTCTCCTTTCAGTGCTCTGTTAGTAAGGAGGCTGCTTTCATAATTCAGATTTCAATTCCCAAAGACTTCAGAATAATAATTTCAGCACACATTCCTGATTCACACGCTGCAGTGCCAATTTCAGTATCCATTAATTTAAATACTCATTAATTTCAGTGGCATTCCTGCTAGCACTGAATGGTGAGCTTACACTTAAAAACCTGGTTTCACAATTCAAAGGGCTCATTGTTTTGTTGTTCAGCCTTTTTGTGTGTGTGCATTGTTTTTTTCTCATTCATCTCCATCACTTCTGCCCTTCTTCTTGTCTGGGCATCCCCCTACCAGGAAATTAAGCCATGCTGGGATATGTGTGTGAGTACTGTACATGACTACCTGCACTCTCAGATCGTCAGCACGGATCCACATAAGAATGCTGACAATGCATTAGCTAATCCAGGGTAGCAATCATGGAAATGGGTAGACCAGCTACACCCCACTCCAACAAAAGGCGATTTACACTCTGTAAAGTGTGTAGAAATCTATTTCCTTCCATCATGATCCATAGAACAATATACGATTTCTCAACTGCTCACAATAGGAAACAAAAGTAGGGCACTAAGGCAAAAATCAGCCCTCACAAATTCCACATGTGATGACCCAGGGACCAAAAGGTCGATAAATAAATTTTAGATATTCAAGAAGATAGTGGAGTAAATATTTTACCAGCCATTTTGTAATCTGTAGAGTGTAAAATACCAGCATGGCTTTGTCTCAGGCTGATTGTGCCAAAACAATCAAACCTTCTTCTTCAAGAAGGAACTCAAGCTAGTGGATGCTGTCTTGACTTCTGTAGCATGCCTGTCAAAACCACAAAGGCTTTTGTGAGCCAGGTAGCTGAAGATGAAGGTAAGACACAGCACATGCTGTTGAATGTGCACATGCACTGTGCTCCTGTATAAGAAGCTGAGAGAGAGACCTGAGGCAGCTGGGTGTCTTCACAAACTGACAACAGCCATGTCCAGAGCTGATTGCACATGTTCCCATTTAACATAAGCACATGAGTCATCTTGGAGCCTTCCCTTCTCCAGGCTGAGCCACCCCTGCTCTCTCAGCCTGTCCACATAGGGAGATGTTCCACGCCTTTGGTTATTAATGTGGCACTCCTCTGGATGGGCCATTCTGAAAATTCACATTTTGAATAAGCATCATTCAGTATGCTATTACTGGATATCCTGAAAACATGGGTAGCCTTCTGAGAATTGTAAGTTGGGTGTGGATGCAGAAATGTCAAAATCGTTTTAAGTGGGGTGGGGTTGAAAAATCCTGCATGGAACTGAGGATTGTCCCTCACCTGAGATCTCCCCAGGCTGCACAATGAAATGTTTCTTCCCCAAATTCAAGAAAACTGTATTGTACATGTATTAATATAGCAACGGTCCTCTGTGAAAAAGATGAAAGAAAATGTAGATTCACCTGAACAACATATCTGCGAGAAGGATCACCAATTTTTAAATAATGCCTTCAACAAGGAGTTAAGCTTCCATAAACCAGCAGGAGATAGGATGATACTGTTCATAATACATCTACAATGCACTCCAAGGACTGGTAAGATCAGTTACATCTTTCAAAATGCATCAGGTGTTATAAACAACACGATGAGCCTAATCCCACACTTCCTATTCTTGAGGTATGATGAGGGAGTTTTATGTTTTTAATTTGCCTCACAGCTTTCAGCAAAGCACTGTTTGGCATATATCACAAATGCAAAAACATGCTCCATGCAAGAACATTGTCATTGAATAACACCATTCACAAACATTAATGTTTCAAAATATGCAAATGAAATTTAACATCCTGCACACTATTCTAAGTATATCAACTTTCTCCTCTTTTTCACACTAAGCATGTTATTAACCAAGACATGTAGGCTCTGCAATGGCTACCAACATCATACTAAGCAAGCACACATGAATGTATTGGCAAAAATAGGGCACATACCATAGCATTCAGATACGATCTTGAAGAAAATCTAATGCACTAAATGGAAGGACAGTTTGACTTTCTGAAATGCATTCACAAATAGCTGAAATTGCATGGTAGATAAAACCTTCTGATCCTCAGTTAAATCTAATTGGTTTAGCTAATTAGAAAGGGAAGCTAGAGTGAGTTTACAAAGATTGGGAATGTAATACCATAATGAAGTTGTATTTTTAATTCTCAAACTTCTGATTTTGGCTGCTACATTAGACGAACGTGTTGATTTCTCGTGCATTTTTGCCTGCTGTTTGGTAGGAATGCATACATTTGGCTTAAATTTCTTTCACATGCTTCTGTAAACCAAGAAAAATTAGTTGGAATGATCAGTTTACACAAGACTAATAAATTCCTCTGGGTTTTTTTTTTCCCCATCCCAGTGCCAATGCTTCCCAGTACCATTGCCAATTCGCAGCCCAATGCTTCTCAGTGCTGATTTGTCCCTCTGTAGTGTTTGCTTGCCTTTTACCCCATCATATATAAAATTGATTTTATCAAACAGATTTCCTCCGAGGCTGAATCATCATCTCCTACATCCCATGTTATATCTAGTGCCAGACTGTCCACAGTCATGTTCTGCACTGGCCTGATTTTTATTCTGCTCTGCAACAATAAAGATGTCGTAAAATATTGCAGTGGAATTTAAGAGTCCTTAAAAAAATTGGGACTGTTGCACTTAAAAGCTTAATTATCTGAGTAGACAGGCGCCTTTTACACCTATGAGGAGATAATCTTAATTAATTTCCTTTTAATTGTGTAACAATTAGCCAGAGATAAGCTTTTCGATGAATGCCAAACAACTTAATAATGAATGTTTCTCCAACTCTTTGTCATTTTCAGGCAGATTTCCTGACTGTGCTTGTGTGTCCATCTGCTCTGAGGCATCAGCATGCTGAAGAGGCAATAAAGAAAAACTTTAAAGGAAACAGAAACAACCTAATGATAGTTTCACACATCTGTAAATCAGCAATTTATCATTTTACAACCATAAAAGAAAGCAGTGGGTGTGTACTCAGGCTCCTATCAAAATCTCCCGTGACCTCAGCCAGCCATAGAAGAGCTGCAGAATGTGGTGCATTGCTCCCTGAGATCCAGCTCTGGCACCCACATCCTTCTCTCTGGCTCCCAAGCTCCTTATTCACTACCTAAGACAGAGGCGATTTTCTCCAAATTAGATGCAAATTGCAAACAAAGACCAAACAAGGAGTGGCCTGGATCAATTTAAGAGGAATCAAGGTCTGATTTGTTTTAATCTTCCCACACCTCCTGTATTTCGACATAGGCAAGAATCATAGACTTCTCAAGGCATGGCAGAGAGCTATTGAAATGTCCCAAATACATGCTGCTCCCAGGGCCTTTTGTGAGGATCCTTAAACGTTTCTCAGCCTCTCCACAAAACACTACTGGCTGTAATATGATAAGGATAAAATTCTCAAACCTCATACTTCTTTCAGATACAAGTGGCAGGGACTGCCCACTGATGTCAATGCATTTATCACTCTGCCTATCATATACTAAGTTTGTCATTTAGTAGCTGCAGTCTACATAAAAAAAATAAATCCGTTATTTTTTTTCATGGCTTTTACAATTCATGTTGTACCAGCTGTTTAGAGAGGTTAAGAATTCAGGGGCTTGTCTACAGTAAAAAATATCAACAAATTTTTAAGTTGGGTCAGCATCGTGATTATACTCATTATGCTCATACCCTTCAACCAGCAGTATATTTATTGATATAAAATAGTGATGTAACACAACTTAGTCATAAACAAGGCAGCGACTTAACAAGATTCAAGATGGCAAGCTACACTTGGTTATTTACTGTACAGAGTTAAATACATTTG